AACTGTTCCTATTTGTAACCCAACTTTTCAGGCTGTGATTCAGTCATCTGAAAATGGACATTATCTTAATAAATCTTGGAACAATCTTGCAAGGTAGGCCAATGTTATTCTATTTGCACTGCACATGGCAGTGGTGAGGCTGCAAGACGTGCCAAGATTTTTATCTCAGTGGGGAGAAAAGAGCATTTTGGAAATGGAGGCAATTTAGAGGAGGAAAAAGGGGGTTGGTGGAAGGACCCCTCTTCTGACGTAGCTTCTGCTCTGATGAAATTCCGAGTCCCCTGTGGTTGCTTTATTAAAGTAACAACATCAGGAGATATGATCGCAAACCTCCCATGTGTAAGAAAGTTTGGTCTAGCAAGCCTTTTAAAAGTGGATTAGAGAGAAAGTGCAGGGGGGAGGAATATTCACCACCATAGCTAAACAGAACCTCCATGTCGAGAGGCAGTGGACCTGTGACCTCCAGGTGCTGGAAACCCAGGTGAGAGGAGGGCACTTACCTTTCCCAGAAGCCCCTCAGTGTCTGGGAGCAGGGTCTGGTCTGTCCCCCCTGCTCTCCCACTGGGCCACCGACTGGCATCTGCAGCTCCCCTGAAGGAGAGGACACCATCCCCGGAGTGGGGAGGACTGGGAGCCTGTGGGGTTTCCCACTTTGAACGAGGAGGCTGCATCGTCTTCAGGAAATCCTGCTTCTCGGCATCCCAGTGCTGCTGCGGCTGCCCCTCCTCTGGCTCCTGCTTAATCTGACATAAATCTGCCCGAGGCAGAAGATCCCTGATGGTCCCAACTTGGCCGGCAGGAGGTTTCTTTCCTTTGTACTTCAGTCTCTCCCTTTGAATGGGTCTCCTGGGTCCCTGCTCTTCCATTTTTACGCCACCCTGCTGGAAAAGAAATAAACACAAAGTAAAATAAAACCCAAGAATAAAAACAAAAGCCCATTTTTTAACCATTAGCCAGTTTTTGAAATATATTATTACTCTTTCTATTTCTAATGTTCAGGCTGTGAATGACAATCATTATGTCACCCAAACGGCTCCTCCCGGGGAGAAGGGGAAGTTATCCAAAGACTGGGGGAAACATCAAGGTTTATGGAAGTACAAATAATATTTTGGGGGGGGGGGGACCAAGGCAGAGGGAGGGAAATCCAAAAACAACCCAGTGAGAGGACTGAGCATGTTAAGTGGACAGGGAATGCTGATCCTGGCTGCAACTTCTAGCATGTTGGAAAGGCAGCAACAGATCTTTGTATATGATTAAGGCTGCAACAGACCCAGCTAACATTTAAAGTACATGGCTTCACCCAAGAAATCCTGCCAGCTGCAGTTTGTTTGGGGTGTTGAGAACTGTAGCAATAAACTACAGGTCCCATGGTTCTCTGGGGGAAGCCACATGCTTTAAATGTATGGGATCTGCACAGCCCAAGAAACTGACAAAAGGAATATTGACCAACAAAATTAAAGAACTCACTCCAAAATATTTTAAATTTGATGGTCACAAACTCTCTTGACTGAAGACATTCTAACTTGCAGTCCATTGGCTGCATATGGCTTGCCAAGCCTCAGGGTGTGTCCTGCTAGTCCCTGCCGTTTCCATCTCCTGATCTGATCATAGGATGAAGATCTCTGACTGTCCTGGAGAGAAAGATGCCTAAGGGGCCCTTAGAGAGATCTTTTCAACTCCAATTTCACCACAAAGCAGCACAGTGCTGAAATGGGGTAAAAGCCCTGCTCTGGAAATAAATGATCCCTCTGGCTGCTCTTTAAAGAGGATTTCTAAAGAACAATCTGATGGGTCTTTTCCCCACAGATCTCCTTGCTAATTCAGAAGGGTCTTCTTGTGCTCTTATTTCTCCTCCCCCCAGCACTGGGGTTGGAAGGTCTAAACATGCTGATTGTGTTTGCAAGACTTGTATGTATGCTAGATGGCATGTCTGGTGAGTGTGTGCAGCACCTCTGGCGTGTGTGCATGTACTTTATGGTCTGCATCTCTTTTCTGGGTGCGCATGCATGTGCATACATTGGCCACAAAGCTCACTGGAATGTGGCCTCCAGAATCAATGCAGCTTTAAGCCCATAAACGTTTTGTTCCTCCTGCTCTATCAGAAAGAACAATCAAATCTGAGACTATCAGGAGGAGAGAACTCCTGGATCTACAATGTTCTCAATATCCTATGGACACAAACTGCAATGAGATTTCCCTTTAATTGCTTTGAGATTTTTCCCCTTAAAAATATGAAGCAGTATAGAAATGAAATGAGTAATAATCTGAACATGAATAGCTAATTTCAATTTCGCCTTCCTCGGTCTTTTACAATACTGTCTTCAACGTTTTTATTATCATTAATTCATTTCCATATGCCACACTTCTTAAGAATCCTCCTTTCCTCTGCATTCTCTAAACTGTCACCCACTTCAACCCTGCTGCCTTACTGAGGAAGGTGGAAATAAAACAATTAATGAAACCAGGCTTAAGCCTGTCTCACTGATTTACACGCAGACACAAGAGGTCACTAGCTTTGACAGCTTGGGAAAAGATCAGATGCGTTCTCCGGGGAAAAGATCTATTAGCTGTTTTATTAGCCGTGACAGAACAACAGAGCCTCCATGTGTAGGCACAGTGTACCTTGATTTGGGGCAGGCAAAAGAAACCATTTCCTTGCTAAATGAATCTGATGGACATCATTGCCACAAGATGCAGTGATGGTGGTGGCGGCTAAGAGTGCTTTAGAAGGCGACCAATTCATGAAGGAGGGCGATAGGTTCATCAATGGCACTGGCAGAGGAAGGGGTGCAGGAGTAGTGGCCTGCAAAGGGTGTCAGGGGGCTGCACAGTAAGAGCCCCCCCCCCCGTGCTGCACTGCTCTTCCATTCCCCCCTGCCTCCCCTTCCCTCTCCCCCGTGGGGAGGACCGTGGAAGAGGACGGGGCTCCCTGATGAGGGACAGGGACAGGGGAGGCAAAAGTCCCAGGTACGCCGCTGATAATCAGACGACTATATGCATCGTCCATCGGGAAGCAGCAGCTGCCTTCGACCCCTCATTCTGCCCCTTGAGCTCAGGACTGAAGGGAGCAGCTCCCCAGGGTCTCCGGCAGGGTCCGTGCCAGCCTGAGCCAGAGATGTTTGCCCCTGTGCCCTCCTGCAGATGCCCTGCCCCTCAGCTGCGCCCCTTCCCCTTCCTGCCCGGGTGGGGGGCGCCCTGCAGCCTCTGACTCCACTCGGGGCCTGATCCTGCCAGGCGAGGCGCACGTGCTCTCCTCCCCCTCCCGCCTCCTGCACCTCGGACTCCTCGCTCCGTCCCTGCACCGGAATCCGGCTCCTCTCCGGGGAAACTCGCCAGGCCACGGGGCCGCTGCTCCTCCGCTCTCCTCGGCGGGGGACAGGAAAGTGCAGCCGCTCTCGAGTCCCCCTGGCTGGCCCCGTTTCCTGCCTCTCTGAGCATCGGAGCTCGCTGGCTGTGGGTTGGGCCCTGGGAGGCTGCGAGGCTGGATGCGCCCCTTGCGCTGTCCCTCAAAATTTATTGTATCATTGGAATCTACCTGGCATCTTCTCGGATATCCAGAATGTTGCACAAATAAGTCTCCTTGTGATCCGATGTGCAGTCACTGGTTTCCTCATCACTAAATATTTTCAGAAAGCTGGGACGATGCCACCTTGCAGCCATAGCTGTCAATTTTCAGATTTGAAAATAAGGGATCAGCAGCCTCACCTGTCCCGGGGACAGTCTACAGGATATCTAACAATCCGGGATAGCAGTGGGAAATTGCACTGGAATAAGGGAATTTCCCGCAAAAAGAAAAAGAAAAAAAGGGAAGGTTGACAGCTATGCCTGCAGCCCGAATGGGTAGCTGGAGGAGGCAGTCCAGTTCCCAGCTCTGCTGGTTGGGATCATGCAATCACTTAGCTCCAGCAACCGACCTTTCCAAACCCTCCAACATTTCTCTGATGAAAATAGGAACATCCCATTCCATAAATATAATTTTCCTATTTATACACCGCACATCTTATTACGTTGCCCCAGCCACTCTGGGAAGTTTCCAACATATATAAAAAACATAATAAAACATTAAACATTTTCAAACGTCCCTATACAGGATTGTCTTCTCAGAGGGCCCAGGGGTCGGATAACTCCATTCCCTCCAGCATTTCTTCAATGAAAATAGGGAGACCCTAAGGAAAAGGGGAATATTCTGGGATCAAATCAGAAACCAGGACAGCTTCTCTAAATCAGGGACATCCCTGGGAAATAGTGGCACTTGGAGGGTTTCTCTTTCCCTGCTTTTTCATTCGCTGCCTCTGGTCTCCTGCATCCATTTAGCAGAGGAGGGGAACGGTTTTGTCCTTCATACTTCTCCACCCCCACCCCAATATAACCAAAAACACACACACCATTTTGGAGTGAGGACCAAAAAAATAGAATCATTTTATTATTTTATTACTTATTTTTGCAGTTCAATCTACCGTATCTATACATCCAGTTACAGATAGGTAGCCGTGTTGGTCTGCCATAGTCAAAATAAAAAAAATCCTTCCAGTAGCACCTTTAAGACCAACTAAGTTAGTTCTTGGTATGAGCTTTCGTGTGCAAGCACACTTCTTCAGATACACTGAAACAGAAGTTGCCAGATCCTTCTATATAGTGAGAAGGTGGGGAGGGGTATTACTCAGAAGGGTGGTGGGAATGGGAGATTGGCAGATAGCTGAGATGAGCCTGCTGACGACTCTTAACGACTGTAATAGGTCTTACAGGAAAAGGCAAGGGGTGAGAAGGTGAGAAATGGCTTAGTCATGTATAATGGGATAAGAATCCAATGTCTTTGTTCAAACCAGGTCTCTCCATGGTTTTAAGTTTGGTAATGAGTTGCAATTCAGCAGCTTCTCTTTCCAGTCTATTTCTGAAATTCCTTTGTAGTAAAACAGCTACTTTGAGATCTTGTATAGAATGTCCTGGGAGATTGAAGTGATTGATCGTATCTATACATTTTATTGTTTATAGCCAATGGCCACCACAATACAATATGAGCACAAATCACACAGCTGCAAAACAAAAGACATTGCATGCTCCAGACCAGGATAAATCTATAGCGTCCAAAATTTATTTTCACGGTTGTTTCAATGGGAAGGATATAGGGCAGCAGAGTCCAGGTGGTGAGGTCCAGATTAGAGTTTCTATCATCCTTGACTGTCTGCCCTGCTGGCTGAAGCTGATGGGAACTGGACAACAACATCTGGGGACATCTCAATGGTTATTCTGTGATATACAGAATCTACAAAGGATTAAGGCACTGATCCAGAAGAGAATGAACTGAGAAGAGGCCCCACTGAATTATCTGAAGTGAAGCAGAGGAAGATCATTATATAATAATAATAATAATTTATTATTTATACCCCGCCCATCTGGCTGAGTTTCCCCAGCCACTCTGGGCAGCTTCCAATCAAGTGTTAAAAACAGTACAGCATTAAATATTAAAAACTTCCCTAAACAGGGCTGCCTTCAGATGTCTTTTAAACATAGGATAGCTGCTTATTTCCTTCACATCTGAAGGGAGGGTGTTTCACAGGGTGGGCGCCACTACAGAGAAGGCCCCCTATCTGGTTCCCTGTAACCTCACTTCTCGCAATGAGGGAACCACCAGAAGGCCCTTGGCGCTGGATCTCAGTGTCTGGGCTGAACGATGGGGGTGGAGATGCTCCTTCAGGTATACAGGACCAAGGCCGTTTAAGGCTTTAAATGTCAGCACCAACACTTTGAATTGTGCTCGGAAACATACTGGGAGCCAATGCAGATCTCTCAGGACCGGTGTTATGTGGTCCCGGCGGCCACTAAATGTTAATAAGCAGAAACCTGTGCAGAAACAGAGACAATACTGCTGATGTGAAAGAAAAATGTTTCATAACAAACTATAAGAGAATTCAAGGGAGAACGTGCCCGTGTTTGAATAAGCAGAAGATTGTACAGTGGTACCTCGGGTTACATACACTTCAGGTTACAGACTCCTCTTCTATTCTTCTCAGTTATATGATTATGAAAGTAAAGTTCTTTTGAATAGCAAGAGTCTGGCCACTGTATAGTCTGTAAAAAGGAACTATCAACTAGAATAACTATTTGGCTTCCTAACTGTAAGCTACTCTGTATTACTTTGGATATCATATAAATTCAGAGACAGACAGACTTTAATGTTGTATAGAGTGTAAGGCTGGGGAATTGAGAGGTGGGGAGAGCGAGCGGGGGTGAGGGGTAGTACACTTTCATTATTTTACGAAGTTCATATGCAAGGTGTTTGTGTCAGTGTGACATGGGTAGCTTCTCTTCCTTTTCATTTATTAGTTTTCATTGGCAGTGAGAAAGATCGGGGGGCCCAGGGCGTAGTTGGTTGCCTTCAGTTGACTGCAGTAAAGGTGGCGGAGGCTGAACCATTTTGAGGAAGAGATAGTTGTAATTCTTGGTTTGGTCCTTCAAGTAAAGGTAAAAGTAAAGGGACCCCTGACCATTAGACCCAGTTGTAGACAACTCTGGGGTTGCGGCGTTCATCTCACTTTACTGGCCGACGGAGCCGGCGTACAGCTTCTGGGTCATGTGGCCAGCATGACTAAGCTACTTCTGGTGAACCAGAGCAGCGCACAGAAACGCCGTTTACCTTCCCGCCGGAGCGGTACCTTAATTGGCCTGGGAGCCGAGCCAGAGCTGCCAAGATAAGGACTCTTTGAGGTAAAGAGAGAGGCTCGGGCTCAAGGAAAACCTGAAATGGAATTTTTCCAAGCTGCTGAATGCCCTAAGTTAAATGAAAAAAATTATCAGACCTGGGCAAAATGGTGTGAGAGTTTGCTGCGTCAGTATGGAGTATGGCATACTGTGTCTCAAGCCCCTCCAGTTCCTCTGACTGATAGATGGAGGGCCCATGATTCGAGGGCCATTGACATAATCGTCTTGTCCGTCTCTCTAGAGGAAATAAAAACGCTTGCTGGCAACGTGACGGCACCTAAGATGTGGAATGCTTTGAAAGCTGCCCATCGGCCAATCGTCCCAGCTCAGAGTCTGAATGCCCAGGGTGTGAGTGCATCGGAGGTCCTGGCTGTTCCCCAGAATGCGAGTGAATGCAGGGATGCAGAGGGCACCGGTTGCAAGCTGCAGAGGGAGCAGACTGTGATGTCAGCCCAGGCAGCATTCCGGCCTCCAGGGGGAGCCAAGGAGTCAGCAGCTGAGAGCTCTGTTTCTCGTGGGAGCCAAGGTCATCGTCTTTGCAGAGGCCGGAAGGCCAGAGGTAAACAAAGACAGATGCCTGCAGATGGCCCGAAGCAGAGGGGGGGTGAAGAGCCCACGCCAGTGGAAAACAAAGCGTTGTTTGCTGGCACTGCTTCACCAAAGGCTAAAGGCAAGTCTGATGGCCAGGAGCAGGGGGGCAAGCTGCAAAAGCCCACGCCGGTGGAAAACAAGGTTTTGCTTGCTGAAAAGACTGCTCCAAAAGCCAGGTTTATTGTGGACTCAGGCGCCAGGCGCCATTTATCAAAGGATAGACACCTGTTTATCTCCTTCACACCGCAAGACGGAGAGATCCACCTGGCTGATGGAAGGACGTTGCAAATTGCAGGAGAAGGGACTGTTAAACTTGCAAGTTTGCATACAACCATCAGTAATGTACTTTATGTTCCAGGAGCTGCGGACAATTTGCTAAGTGTCCCACAGCTGACTGGGCGTGGTTTTGAGATTTCCTTCAAGAGGAGCGTCTGTGTCATCAGGAAAGGCAAAGAGGACGTTTTGCATGCAAAGTTTATGGATGGTTTATTCTGTATAACTTATGATGACAATGCTGTTGTGTCTAATGCTGATTCTTGTTGTGTTGCACAAACTAACAAAGTTCTTCATGCAGGATGCATTCACGATGCACATCGAAGATTTTGTCACCTCTCTTGGCAAGCGCTAGCCAATATGCCAGAGTTGGTTGAAGGTTTGAACATCAAACCTTGTAAGTATCACATGAAATGTGTATCTTGTGCAGAGAACAAGGTGAAGGTTGCTCCAAAAGGCAAGGAGTCTAGCAGGCAGGCTTCCAAACCCTACCAGCTAGTGCACGCAGACCTGGTTGGTCCACTTGCGCCATCTTTGGGAGGAGCAAGGTACTTCATGGTTCTAATTGATTCTTTTTCCAGGTACATTCATGTGTTTATGCTTGAGCAGAAATCGCAAGCATTCCCTAAGTTCAAGGCATTCTGTGCTTGGTTGGAGAATGTTCGTGGTAAACGTATCAGCTGTCTTTTTACCGATCGGGGTGGGGAGTTCACTTCTCAGCAGTTTGAAGCTTTCCTGACTGAGAAGGGAATCCAGCATGACTTGTCAACGCCTAGATCGCCATGGATGAATGGACTTGTGGAGCGAGCAAATCAAACTTTGCTTCAAGGCCTGAAAACCTTGTTGCATGATGCCAACCTCCCTGAGAAGTTTTGGGGGGAAGCTCTGTCAACGGTTGTTTATACCGTTAATCGGAGACTGTCATCACCCATAGGTTGCACTCCGTACGAGAAGATGTTTGGTAAGAAACCGAACGTCAAGCACATGAAAATCTTTGGTTCTGACATGTGGGTACACACCCCACAAAGCAACAAGCTTGGGAAGCGTGGGGCACATGGTTTGTTCATGGGTTACGAGAAAGGTGCATACAGGATATGGATGACTAACTCTAAGTCCATTAAGTTCACCAAGAGTGTTGAGTACAATCCAAAGTGGGGGGAAAATGTAGGAATTTTCCAGAGTTACCCAGAGGAGGATGGAGGTGGTGTGCACAAACCAGATAATGTTGAGAAAGCTGAGGATGAGGATGATGATGATGATCAGAGTTCGGATTCCAGTTCAGTTGGTGGCACTGCTGCTGCTGTCAGTGACAGTGATGACACAGCAGACTACAAGAGCGCAAAGGCCTCAGTCAGACCATCTGATGCGTCTGACAATGAACTGGAAGAACCGCTGTTCACCATTGGTCACTTTTCTCCTAAGAAGGAGATGAATCCAGAAGACTTACGTCTAGTTCGCAGGTCTGAAAGGGCGACCAAAGGCAGACCTCCAAAGAGATTTGCTGATGAGTTTGCTAAGACGGCAACTGCTGTTCTTAGTAGCTCAGAGAAGGTGTGGGAACCTTCAAGCTTCAAAGAGGTTCAGGAGTTAACCTCTAAAGATGCTGAGCCTTGGCTAAATGCCATGAAGGCTGAAGTTGATTCCTTGAATAGGAACCAAACTTGGGAATTGGTACTGGTAGTCCCAGGAATGAGACTGGTTGGCAGCAAATGGGTCTTCAAGGCCAAGACAGATCAGAATGGCAAGGTTGTCAGACACAAAGCCAGATTGGTTGCCAGAGGTTTTTCACAGGTACCAGGACAGCATTACCACGAGACCTACTCGCCCACCGTCAAATATGAGAGCATTCGGCTGATGCTCAAGATAGCTGCAGAGGAGAAACTGCATGTTTCCCATCATGACATTAATACAGCTTTTTTGTACGGGATTTTGGAGGAGCAGCTGTACATGCTTCCACCTGATGGGATGGAGATACAGAAGGGAATGGTCTGTAAACTGCGGAAATCCTTATATGGTCTTAAGCAGAGTGCCAGGTGTTGGAACACAAAACTCACTGAGACATTGCTTTCTCTAGGTTTTCACCAGGGCAAAGCTGATCCATGTGTGTTTGTCAAGGAGGAGGGGCAAAACAAACTGTATTGTTTATGTTTTGTTGATTATCTTTTGATGTTTTGGAAGAATCAGGCTTTTTACCAAAGCACCCTAGCTCAACTGAAGGAGCACTTTGACATGAAGGATCTTGGTGAGGTATCCAACTATCTTTCTCTGCAGGTGGAGAGGGACCAAGCAGGTAATTTTCTGGTACACCAAACACAGAAAATTGCTGATGTATTAACCAGGTTGAATTTGGTTGATGCAAACCCAGCAGACACATCGATGGTGATAGGTTACCAGGTAGATGGTACTGCTGAAGCGTTTTCTGACACTACGCTGTACAGATGCATTCTAGGCAAGTTGAATTTCATTGCTAGATGCTCAAGACCTTCCAGTAGCACTTAAAGACCAACTAAGTTAGTTCTTGGTATGAGCTTTCGTGTGCATGCACAATTCTTCAGATACACACATGCATGCACAGATGCATGCACACGAAAGCTCATACCAAGAACTAACTTAGTTGGTCTTTAAGGTGCTACCGGAAGGAAAAAAATTTTTTGTTTTGACTATGGCAGACCAACACGGCTGCCTATCTGTAACTGCTCAAGACCTGACATTGTTGTAAGCACTAACCTGCTTAGCAGACATGCTAACAATTTTACTGTTCAGGATTGGAAAGCTCTGAAGCGCATAGCCCGCTATTTGAAAGGGACTATGCACTACAGGCTGAGATTCACCAGTCAGAAGACTGGAGGTCTTGAAATCTTTGCAGATGCAAGTTTTGGAAGTGACACCACGGATGGTACAAGCACTTCTGGAGTGTGCTACATGTACAACCACTGTCTGTTTGACTGGTTGTGCAAGAAGCAGACGACAGTGAGCCTAAGTTCCTGTGAAGCAGAACTCAATGCTTTGTCATTTTCACTCATGGATTGTGAATGGTTGATGCAACTGTTTAAGGACATTGGGGTTACTGTGAAATGTCCTATACAAGTGTATCAAGACAATAGATCCTGTTTGGCTTTGCTGAACTCAGAGAGTTGCAAGCAAAGAACCAAGTACTTGCAGATTAAGC